CAAAAAGAACCAGCCAAACAATATAAAGCAACAGTGGAAACTTTTTATATAATTCTCCAGAATTAAAGTGTGTTTTTTTTTAAAAAAGGTTTCTGCTAACAGAATCCTTAAGAATTAGCAAACAAACAAAAAAGTTTTTACATATTAAATGTACAAATATTTGTAGTAGATTTTAACAAAATTCCTGTCGGGGCAAGTTTTGTTTCTAAAACATGGATAATAATTACTATCAGTGTTATGATAGTCATGGAAAGGCATTAGGTCTTTTGTTCATATAGTCTCTATGAGTCCTGCTTGATTCAATGGCAATCAACAACAACATCAGTGTTATGCATTACTTTTTGCCCTGCATTTACTGCTACAAAGGATAACAATTTCAAGAGAACAGAATAAAGCAGATGGGAAAAGTTATTTTCTACCTTGCAGCTACCAAGAAAAATTTGCCTCCTGGTACCAGTAGAAGGGGTGGGGGCGGGTGGGGGGTAAGGCCAATCCTTCATGTTAAGTGAGGGACATTATGTTTGGGAGGGTGGAGGGACAGCGCAAGCCAGGAAGACCTCAATGAAATGGATCAATTCAGTGATTGGGGTAATGGGAGTAGGTGTGTCAGAGAAAGGCCGGCTCAGGATAGAGCAGGGTTTAGGCTATCCTACATAGGGTCACTATGAGTAGCAAGCAACTCGACAGCACATAACAACAGTAGTTTCTTAAAAGTTTTAATGTTTAGCACAGGAATCCAGAATTAAGGTTGCATAGAGAAGTGTACTCGGGGTGGGGGGTGGGGAGAAAGGACGTGGGAACTGTATACTAATGAAGGAATTTTAATGTTTTTTTTTCTTTTTCTCTTGGAGGGGGAAGCGAGCTGGTGGGGAGGGGTGGGCAGGGAGAAAAGTGCGGCAATGAATGAATGGAAATCCAAAACCTCTGTAAATGTCTATTAAAATTAATAATAAAAAATTTTTTTTTAATTGAACAAAATCAATTCTGTTAGAAAAAAGTTTTAATGTCTTTTTCAAAGTTTTTTAATTATATTTCACAGAAAGTTGCACAGCTGACTTTTAGACATATAAATGATTTGATGTTCTTTAGTATACAAAATTTTACCAATGTCTTAAACCATATACCTTGGCTTTTATTTGTAAGGATGATGAAGTATTTCTGAAACTATCCTGTCAATAAACGCACTGGCATTACCAGTATTAAAACAGTGAAAAAGCTCACCAACTGTTCAAGTGCAGGAATTTGCAAAATAAACTTGAAGACTGCTGCATAATTTGCCCTTTTCCAGGAAATGCTATTAAACTTTGTTGGTACTGGATACAAAATAAAAATTCAAAAATCTGCATTTTCAGTACTTTTGGTTTCTTGACCTTTACTTGAATTTAAGACTAAGCTTTACCAAACAACAGAATTTACACTGTAACTACCCAGCCGTGGTCCTCATTATGGAATCTGTGCAGTGCATTTGTTACCTAGGAAACAGACCAGAGCCAGGCAGAGTGCAATTTCAGTCTAGCAAAAGAATTCTCCAATCACGCTGGTAAATAAAGTCCATAAATCAACTAATCAGAAGCAAGGTCAAGAAGTATCACATAAGAGTTAAGCTCTATGGAAACTTTATTTCTAAAGGAAAAAAAGAAACCTGTGGGGTTTCTTGGCCCAAGTATGTAGATCTTTTTAGTAAATATTTGGAACAGGTTTCTTTACAAACACAAACTGTCAAGAAATAAACTGTTCAAAATAAATGGCTTCTCTCCAACCTTCAGCTTCTCTATTTCTGACAGTGTTCAAAAGAAAAAGCTTCTTTAGGGCCAGCCCCATACATCTGGTAGCAGAATATTAATCCAAGAATTCTGCATTTTCAGGGGATCAGCATGGGCCTCTACTATTCTTAAGAAATGCTGGAATGGGAAAACACTGGACCTTTTACAATCAGGTCCATGTCATCAACATACTGTAATTTTGGGTTTTAGTTTTTTTTAAAGTAAGAAAAAGAAGCACCTGAAATTCACAGACCTAGTGTAAAGAATCAAACTCCTACTTTTCAGCTTTGCATTTGATTACTATTACTTATGCTTTCTAGTCATTTGAGGGTTCTAGTTAACATAAAGTGGCCATTTTACCCTTCCTTTAATGACAACACATTGGCATGCAGTAAACCGAAAAATGCTAGAAAAGTCCAGTAATCTGTGGACTGTGGACAGCTTCATGAGGTCTACACTGCTCAGATATAGTTAAAATTCCAATTTTACACAAATTCTTAAGTTCTGAAAATAACATTTTATTTGTCTTAACATATAATGCAACAGGAAAAAAAATTACTTTAGCCAAAAATGAATATGCTTTTCTAAACATCACTTACCAAAAGGGAAATAAAAGGTTTTCTGGAATGCTTCTAACTATAAAACAGTATTATTAAGTAAAAGAAAAATTGTTATCTACATAGCAGATTTTTTTAAAGGTGCTATACTTAGCCAGTCTACACAAAGACACTACAATTTTAGAGAAATGTGAGGCACAACTACTTAGCCAGAGCAATTCTCAGCACAGGCTCTATTAATGTTTAGTTTATAAGGAGTCTTTACTGAACTTTATCTGTACCACTGACACAATTATAAATACCTAAATAAGCAATTCAATTTGTTGGCTTATCTTTCTTAATACTTCAAAGAGCTGATTTAAAGTATGTGTATTTAAGAGTTGAAATGCTGGGAATGGCTCAACTCCATTCTAGATTCATGATAAAACCTGAATAAATTTCAGTACTCATCTTCTCTGAGATACCCTTAATAGGAAAAAAAAAAGGAATATTTCTCAAAGGCCTACCAGCACCAGAGTATGTCACAGTTCTGTGTCTTTACACAGTTTCAATTTGTTTACCTAATCTATAATGGAAATCAGAGCAGGAACTAATAAAGTAGGATCAACCCAAGGAGATGGGTGTGATCATTGTTAGATGGAAACTTCTAGGTTTTAATTAAAATGTAAGTGTATACCCTAAGCATTTATTATATTACACATGCAATAAATTATATATTATTAATCTGTTAATGTAACTAGGTCAAAATCAAGGATATGTTTTTCTCTTTAGAAGGCATTTAGGCAGTTAAATACTCTTTTCTGTAGAGGGGAAAAATCAGTTTGCCTAATTATAAGTACATTCAGTAGTATATTATCTTTCAGATTCCTGTCTACTTTATACTTGATGAAAATTTAAATAAGTAATAAGCATATCTACATTAATGCTTTTCATTCAAACTTAGATGACAATTTTTTAAAGCCTCCATTTTCTACATGTAGCTGTGCATAAAATTTGTCTATCCTCAAAATTTACTTTTTCTAAAACTAAGTGTCAGACTTAAGTTAGCCAATTAAAAAATCTCATACACTGAGAAAAAGCCAAATATATGTAACTTTTTTCCCTCCAAGAGTAGACTGATATTAATGCTTTATCTGTTTTAAAAGTCTGAATCAACTTTATTTATTTGAAGATCTACAAATACACACCACAGTTCATTGAAGGAAAAAAAGAGCGAACTAATAAAGAAACAACTATAATTATAGAAAGGCTTCAGGTCTTTTGACTGGACAGCAATCAACAACAACAAATCAGAGATACCATCTTAAAATACTTTTGAAAACCCTAAACTAACGATGGTGGCCTAGTGGTAAGAAGTTAAGGTGTAATGCCAAAGGCAAGTGCTTCAAATCCACCAGGCGCATGGCCAATCTCCTCCCATGGACTGTACTGCCTCTGAAAACCAGCTGGAGGGTCAGCTATGAATCACTTCCGACTCAGCACATAAGAACAAAAAACTCACCATATACAATCCAACAGAATATATAGCACTATACATTAAAATGGGAGGAGTGGGAAATTACAGGACCCATTTTAACATTTATGTTTTCTCATATGTGTCAAATACCTCATACCTTAAACCTGCAAAAAGGAAGGTTTTTGACTGAGCAGTAACTAGGTGTTTATTACATTCCTAGGTAAACTCCACTTTGGAAGTTGTCACTACCTGACTCTTGTTAACCCTTGAATGCGCCGAAGATCCTGTCATGCTAATCCTAAAGGGTTTGGGGAATTACACAACTTAGCCCCTAAACTTTAAAAAAAAAAAAAGTTAATATATGCATGAAAATTAGAGACACGTGGTTTCTGTTGTTTGTTGTTGGGTTTTATTTTTCTTTTCCGTACTTGTTAAGTCTCTAAACGAAAAAAAAATTAAAAGATGCCAATAAAAATAAAAATAAAGTCTTGGATTTTTTGGGGGTATGTGTAATTTTGATCAGCACACCCTTCTTTTACCCAAGAAGATAAATTTTTTTATGTATTTGATAACAAATGCTATGCCTCAGATTTGGGGGCGGGGGGCCGGAGAAAAGTCCTCCTCTGTCAGAAACAATAACTAAGAGAGGGAAGTGCTGCTCGACCCCACACACACGCCCCGAGCGCACCTAGAGTGGCTCCAAACGGAGCCAACAAGTCCCGCAAAGCCCCGAGGCACCTCTCCCCTCTTTCCGCCGCTATTCCGAGACTTGGAAAGTAGAGGTGCAGATCTTTTCTTTCCCCTTCCCGCCCTCCTTTCCACCTCAAACAAACCCGAGAGGTGGAGCAGCAAGCCAAGACCACGCAGCGCGCCCGCGGCCGCCGCAGCCACAGGAGATGCTGGGCGGCGCGCCGGCCCGAGGAGACGCGAGCGCAGCTGCGCCGCCGCTGCCCCGCTCCCGGTGCCCTCTCCGCCGCCTGGGGTTCCCACCCCGAGATCCCCCGGCTTGCCGCCACCAACGTCCTGCGGCCGGGTCTCGGCTCCCGCTCTGGACCTCAACCCCCACAAAGAAGACAAAAGGAGGGTTCAGCCGGGTCACAGCGCGTCAGCCGCGGGGGAGGCAAAACAACCACGGCGCGGCCGCCCCCCACACAAAGGGGCTCCATAGTCCGGGTCACAGCCTCGGCGCGCTCGTCCCCGCCCCTCGCGCGGGCTCTCACTCACCTGCAGGTGTCTGTGCGTCTGTCCATAGGAACGCGGGCGGTAGGGGGGCCTGTGGGAACCAGGCCGATTGGACTGGACGGGGCGGGACGGAGGAGAGGGGAAGAGAGCGGCCAAGAGGACGCGGAGCGCAGGCAAGTGGAGCAGCGGAGGCGCCTGGCGGGCGACGGGCGGGGGCGCCAGCCC